GGGGGGGGGGGGGGTGGGGGGGGGGGGGAGTAGAAAAACGGATAAAGCGGATAAGTATTAGAAGTTTTTATAAATTAGTCATTATTCTATGCAGAAGAATACAGAATAGAAATTGAGCGACAAACATTTTTAAATGTCGAAAAAGTTAATAAAAATAATTTTAATTTTATGTTGTATAATTTGGATATAAACGTATTAAAATTAAATGACATTTTTGTACAGATCGAGAGCGTCTATTGGACTTGCAAATTTGAATAAAATATTGAATTTAAATGAAACTTCTAGAAAAAAAAAGAAAGAATTAAAAGAAAAAGAAAAAAGAAAAATCCGCGGATGTTCAATAGTAATATCTACAGAATATCTTAAAAGCTATATTTTTTAGTTTATTTAATGCAGAAATTCCGTTCAACCAGACATTTTAAAACTTTACAAACATAACCAAACATTACGCTTCTTGTTTTTCCTTTATTATTATTATTATTATTATTATTTATTATTTTTATTTATTTATCTATGCAAAGCCTCTGTGCCTTTACAACGAGTATTCGAATACAATCTTCGAATCAAGCTATCCCGAAGAGTATCCAGTATGAACAGTGGGGAAAAAAAAAATATTTGTTTAAATTTTTTTAACGAATGACAAGAATAATTTTGTACGATAAGCTCTCGGCTAATTATTAAAAGATGAGCTCGTTTTTATTCACAATTTTATGTTTTTGTCAACGATTCGACGAACGCAGACCTCCTTCCCGATCCACGCCACTTTAATAATAATTTAAGCCCTCCCGATTCGAAACAGCAATCGAATTATATTCCAGTGAACCGACCGTTACATCACATCGGATATCCAGTGCATCGCACAGACTGTGCAGTCTTCGATGGAATAATTAATTAAACGATTAAATTAGTACTGAAATACGAAATAAAGAGAGTTAAAAAGTTTGATTTAATATTAATCCAATAGTAAGATTAATAGTAAGATTTCGTCATCGGGCTCGTCGCTAAAGCGCTCGCTCGCTATAATCCTTCGCACAGGCCAAAACAAAACAAAACAAAGTCGCCGCCAATAATGAAACGAATTCTCGATATTGAAATAACACGTTGAAGGGGCCCGAGGCCCGCGCGAGCCACTCTATGTACAATCCCACGACGACCCGTCGAACAACGACGTGGACGTCGACTACGTCGACGAGAGGTAGAGGCGAGCGTGTAGAGGAGTTCCGGGACGAGCTGGGGAAGGAACGGGTGCTAGGGTTGTGTGCGTGCCTGTGCCTGTAAAGTAAAGCCCAAGCCGGCCGACACGAGGCTCCTCCTCGCAGTGTTCGTGTTACGATGACGATGCAGGCGGTTGTTGGTGGGGGGTGGACCGGTGTCGATCGCCGTGGACGTCTTCGTCGTCGGGAGCAACGATGACGCGTGGCCGAAGGATGTACGACGTTGCCGGAGCGACGACGACTGCTGATGAGTCACTCACTCCTCGCTGTCGCCTCCGCCGTCGAAGCCGACTGACCTCAGCTACGTTGGGTGGGGACGTGCCCCCGCGGACACCCGGTTTGTTTGAGCAAGGGCGCGTCCGCTTGACACGTCAATCCGGGGCGGGAGATTTAAAAGGCTTTTTGAGGTTATTTCCATGGGAGTGAGCGCCGTACACTAGATAGAGATATACCGAGTGAGAGTGAGAGTGACAGTGAGAGAGAGAGAGAGAGAGAGAGAGAGAGAGAGAGAGCGTGCGCGCGTTCCCGCTAATGCGTTTCCTCTTATGCATGTGTGCGCGGGCGCGCGCGTGCGCGCGTTCTTGTGCGTGTGTGACAGGAGGAGAGACCGAGCGACTGGTGGAAGTATCGCTGGGTCGCGCGGCTCTGCCAGCCGCCACCGCTCTTTTATATCCGAGGCGACGGCCCGGCCGTGCTGAGCTCCCGCAGCAGCGGAGATTCGGACTCGGTGTATTTATACTCGCGAGTCAGCTGTTCGAGGAGACGTCTGGAGAAGGACGAGCGATCTCGAGGCACTGGAGGAGGCGAGTTTCTTAGCTGCCTCCAGAAGTAAGCGGCACGCCTTCGCCGACACGTCTTGTGCTTGTTCGCCGGTTCTGGCCTCGACGGCCCTTTTTCTCGGAAGCCCGCTACGGGCCTCCACGTGGACAAGCTATCGGTTATTATTGTGTGCAATGTCAAGAGATGTTCTGTGCTGTGCGATGCCTGTTTTGTGCGTGAAAGTTATACAGTTTTATTCGTTTGGCTGGGTTGCTCTACATTGTCAGCATTGACGTTACTCAGGTCTCCTGCCCATTTCTCATTCATAACGTTATGGATTTATTATTATTTTGACTGTTACATGACCGACTTAGCAAGTGACACGATCGTCTCTCCTTTGGCAAGAATTTCAAAATTCTCATTCGACCTGTAATTTTGAGCTTTGAGAATTTTTAAGTTTTACCACCATTGCCTAGGATTTTCATCGATCGATTATTATTATAAGCCAAGGATTAGATTTATTTTGATATTGAAACAGCAATTTCAACTGGCTTTCTCATTGACATGCTGGAATTCATTATATTGAAATAGTCATCGAATTAATTGCCCAGTGCTTTAATTCCAAAGGTCTAACAATTAGAGTTCAATCACATTACACGCTGAAAGAATTCAATCGTTTGAAAACTTTTTTTTATCCATTAGTAAATTAACTTTGCAAGCGGATTTTGTTAATATTATTGTATAAGCCTGTTCGCATTACAGAATTGGTTATCTATAGTATCGTATGAGTTATCGACGTTAATTTAATTGTAAATTGTACAGTTACCAGCTCTGGCCGCTATCTAGTTAAATTTAATATACTTTTCAAACTTGAGTACTATCAATTTTGTGGAATGATCTAAATTTGATAATTGTATCGTTATTCGTTGCATTTATTGAAATTAACATTTAAACATTCTATTTAAACAGTTTTCACAAGATGATTTTTTGCATAGACATATATAGATAAATTTTTAATCAATTTTTATTGCATTGGCCATGTATTAGGTCGCTGCTTTATAAATAAATAGCTTCATAATATTAGCTTGGTGTACAAGTCTTATCTTCATAAATGTGATATCTTAATGTTTATCTTTCTCTCTTCAGGTATTGATAAAGCGAATCCGGCATGTCGTTAATGAAGAATTGAAACTAAATTCAAAATAATTCTCCTCGCTGAATATGTCTGTAAAACAATGAAGTCGCATGTATCCGAAGAATCATTAACAATGTTCCACGAACTGATTGTACTTAATATGAGAGTGAAGCCAGTGTGAGAAAAAAAAAACTTTTGATATTTGGTGTCAGTGTCTGTGATAAAATAATTTAATACATAAAAGATAAATACGAAAACTGTCGGTTTTATGATCGTTAATAAAATGAATTAACCCAAGAGCGTAACGGATATACGTAAACTGTGATTGTTATATACGTATGCGTATAAATTTCTTGTAATTCATACTGTAAATAATAACCGATAGAAAAATGCTGAACCTCAAGAAACTTTACAGCGATGAGTTGCTGCAGCTGGCCCTGCTGCTTTCGCTGTTGAGAGTAGATCCTGATTCCTACCTTGGATTAGACATTCGGACAATTGGAGTTGGTTCGCTGGATCTAAATAATGGCTCTGGCTGGCATACAGATTCCCACACGATTGTCCACAGGCCAGCTTTTATCCATCCAAAAAATCTTGACTCTGTACTATTGAACTATGAGAGAGATTTGTTCGAAGACTTAAATTTATTAGGAAGATATAATAGAATAAACGCTGCGCATAATGATATACACGCTTACTTGTTAAATATTGATGACAGAGCAGGTCCAAGTGTTAGAATAACCGATGCATCAAACAATGCCACAAATACCACCTCAGCAGAACCACCAATGCCCTCTCAAGCTGCCGATGAAAACCAAGGAGCAGCCGAGCTCACTCAAGAGGTAGACAGGATGTTTGTTTATAAGGATATGTAACCTTTCTGTGTGCTGGAAAATGTCTAAAGATTTATCTATATAAAGATAAATTTATAAACCAATTTAATCTCACACAGAATTGTTTTATTATTTTAATTTTAAAATTATTTATCTAATTAAAAGGTGGTTATTGGCTAGAGAAACAGCCATTGATCAAAATAAAATTATATTTTTATTGTAATGTTAGTTATAAAACATAATGAGAATTCGGAATTTTCACTTTTACAATTAATTAATGTATATTCAAACGTTTGATAAATCATATGGGTAATATTATAATTAACTATATGGATGTTTCTAATATTATGATAATAATAAAATTAAGGAATATGCTGAATATGCTTGGTTAAGATTAATTATCTTATATGCAGGTTACAGGAATAGAACGCAAATAAGAAAAATCCAAGGAAATAAAAACAAAAAACAAAAGTAAACGCTTATTATAAAGTGAATTACAAAAGCTTTATCTTTGTCAATGCACATTCTCTTTTCAAGCCAAAGTGTGTATGTATTTATAACTAACGATCTACAATCCAAATATGCGAAAACTGCAATGTCGAAAAAGCAATAATTTTTTTTTCTCTTCTTTTTTTTCTTTCTTTTTATACAAAGTCAAAGACGCAAAGTTCAAACGTATACATTAAAACTAATGATGCATAAATTGCAAATTAAAAGAGACGGTACAAATATTAAGAGATACGTAGGGTATGTTCGAGTTAATTTAAACGAAATTTAAATTTTATCAATGACTTTGTGAAGTAATATTATAATAATGATGAGATTAAAAGAATCCAAATAATAATAAATATAGGATGAGTAATTTAACAACCCACGTAACCTAGACGCAATAACATAAATTACTATCAGTCTAGAAACGCAATTAATTTATGCAGATGAGAATCAGGAAGGAATGATCGATCGATAAAATGTACTCGAATTCAGCAAACCATCGATCGACCAACATTTTATATTATCTAAAAATTTAATGGTCCTACCATTCTTTATGAAAAAGACGGTACAGCAAATTGATAGGGCGAAGCGAAAAATAAGCCATCGTAAACGTTGGTGCATTGATCATGTCGTCGCTCTCTTTACGGAAAAACTAGAGTAATAAAGAGTGATTAGAAAATAGTCTCCTCGATACGCAGAGGCAAAATTTCCTTCCTGTTTCCATGTTGGCCATCACGCACAGAAAATATGATATTACGCTTCTATCGTTCCTACGCAAATAATTGAATCACTGGGACATTAATCCAATAACAACAATATTCGACGATTAATGAGCATTGTGCGAGATATTTTTTATGAACGATTAATTGAAATGAGAAAAACTTATTCTCTAGGTATACTGTAATGAAGTATCTAAGCTGGTGCTTCGATTTTCTATTGACACACACGAACACGCACGCATGCAATATTACCTAATGTTGCGTAATATTATAGTAATGTTACATGTGCCTATCAGTGACAGCTGATTAAATCGTGACCCATTATTACTTTATAATTTTTACTATTTATAATTGCAGTTAAAGATTATTGTTTAAAAGCTGATATATTTAGATATGGCTTTTAATTTAATTGTTGAATAAATTTTAATAAATTGTTGAAAGTTTAGCTCGTGTCTGCCTATGATTATAGAACAATTGGATTACATATTTATTCGTTATTATTGTCATAATGAAAAAAAAGATGCTTAAACATCATGTGACATTAATTACACAATTAAAATTGTCTCTTTCCCGTTTTAATTTAATTAGATTAATGTTCAATTCCAATGTTCAAAATCAATGAAAATTTTAAAACGATTATGAGCTCGGCACTTTAGTTAAGAATCTGGGCTAATTATATAAATATTTTTAACAAAAATAAATATATTAAGCAAAAAAAAAATATGAATGAAAGGAAAATAATGAAGGATAACTCTATAAAAAAAAATTCCTGTATGTAACAAATAAAGTAGGATAAATAACAAATTTTCTAAATGACTAAAATATTTAAAAAATGTTGAACAAACAATTACGTTGCAAAATACTCTATCGATTGCAAGACAAAATATTATCATTTTTGCTATTTTCTCTACATTTCCTTTGCAGTTTTAAACTGCTCTTGCACTTTTCAAGACATAATAGTGACCATCTCTATCTATAAACACAATGTACAAATTGCTTTTCCAATTACTCTCGAAATTACACGTTTAAATAAAGTAATTTTCTATATCACTTTTGTGCCCTTTATTTATTGAAGCTTTTGTTATCGTAAGTAACAGCAAAACACATTAATATAAACAACGTATATTTATTTTTAACTATTATTATTTTAGATTATTTTACTTGGTATTACACTATGGCTCACCTGTTTTTTAATACTAGAACCACATCCTTATTAAACTTATCTCTTAAACTTTTTTATTTCTACTAAAGATATCCGACGTTCTGAAGCTTATGAACAAAAAATGAATATCCGTGAGCTAATATATTATTTTTTAGCAGTTAAATTAAGAATAAAAGTAATGATTTTATAATAGTTAAGAAGAAGTTCATTAATAAGAAAAGAGTAAATATAATTAGAAATAATAATTTTAAATTTGAGAAAGTTATATCTGCATTATTAAAGCGAATAATTTAAAAATTTTAATTAGATTAAAACTTAATTATTAAATATATTTTTAAATTTTTCGATAAAAAAAAAAAATAAGAAAAAAAAAGAGAGAGAACCAAGGAAAAATCGTTATTATGAAAGTAAGCTAAAGAAGAAGGATGGTAGACAGTCGTAAGATAAATATGCGATTTATTTTTCGATGCAACTAACTCGCATTCTCCGATTCTATTTCGCGACTTTACATCGACGACACAAAAATAGAGTAATGGGGATGAAAAAGAATTTCTCTTCTCGCTTCGATTTCGAAAAAAAGTCGGCGTCGGCGACGACGCGCCAAAATAATTTTCTTTACTGCAAAAATAACTTTTTTCGTGAACACGACAAAGACAATATTCGAAGCGAATGACCTCGTTTTTCTCCCCCTGCCCTCGTCTAAAAGACTTTTCCTCGGCGCCTTTTTCATTCTCTAGAGCGATCTCGATGACCTTGACTGTTCCCCCTCCCCCAATAGATTTCATTGATAATATTGGATTATTCGGATTTCCATAAGATTATTTGAACTTTAGACGTACGTAATTTAACGAAAAAGTCGTCATTTAATCAAAAAAAAAAAAAAAAGCAACATGTCGATTTGCGTAGTTTTTCTATAAAACTATTTCTAATTCGATTAGCAAATATTTTAATAGAGGTAATATTTAAAGAAGAAATTTTTAAAAACATTTCTAAAGAGAGTTGTAAAGGATTCGAGCAAGGAGAATATACAATTACTGTAATATTTTAACAATCCAGTAATATATAGAAAAATTAATTCGCTAGGTACAATTGTATGTTGTCATTCTCTTACTATGTACTTTTTCAATAGCGTATTATTTTTCTTATTTATCTATCTATCTATATATATATATATATATATATATATATATATATATATATATATATATATATATATATATATATATATATATATATATTTATATATTTATTTATTTATATATCTTATTTTATATCATATTTAGTCGTTGTAACATGTATATTAAACACAGAATACGGGTTTTAATAGTAGTTGCTTAGAAATTGTAATCCTGTATATTTTGACATACATTTATTATCACATCGCTAAAGTGACAAAAACGAAACAAACGTAAATACATATTTTCCTTATATGACATTTTATTTAAAAATATTTTTAATATTTAGCTAATAAATCAATGAATATTATCTGTAATCATTTTTTGCAGAAAATTGTAAAAAAAAATACACACACACACACACACACACACACACATATATACATATATATATATATATATATATATATGAGATAGTATACGACAAAAAGTATACAAATTATTTCACGTTGGAATGATGAAGTAATTATAACAATAACTTGATTTGAATTATAAATATTCTCGAATACGATTCCTACCTGCGATAATTACTGTCGTTTGATAAAATTATCATTTAATTTTCATTTTATAAAATTGCAAATATGATTATTATACACAAATCTACTTGTGTTAAAAAATAAATTTTTATTGCGATCAAATATATTGTTTTACGCTTTTAAGAAAAAACCAGATATTTTTAAATACATTTGAGTATTTTACATAAAGTTATCTTTATATTAAGAGCTAAATGAAAAACAAATATATTTGAGGAAAAGTGAAAAGATCTCTCTCGTGTTTACAAGATTTCGACTGCCAAATACCGTAAGTGTTAATTTCAGTTGTTTATAGAAAAAAGTTTTATTAAAGTGTACATAACGAAAACAGCTGGGACAAATGGTGAAACAGTCCCCGCGACTCCGATGTTGAAAAACGAGTTTGAAACTCCCGACATAATTGATAACAATGTATCGAGCATATTTACGGACCGGATAAATAAAAAGCCATCAGCATTCGATTACAATACTTTCTCTCCCACTGGCAACCAAATTTGGTTCATCCGCACAAAATATTTACGAGGCGCATCGAAAAGGGTGGATCACCGGTGCATTCGCCTTGCCAAAAGGTTATCATTTTCAAGAGCGACAAACCGCTCAAAGGTTATTGGCACCTCGTTGCGTGCGATTTAAACGCCCACTCGGTGCCGCTGACCTGCTGACCATATTTCAAGGTCTCGCAGTCGCCGCCTCCTCGAAAGCTAGAATGAGCTTTCCCCCTTCGTCTGCCGATTCATCTTCTTCGTCTTCTTCTGCTGTCTCTCCTCCGCCTCAGTTTTAGCCAGCCGTTTATTTTCGTCGATGGTATCCTTTCCTCCTACATTTTCGAGTCGCTTTGCTCTCTGCCGGACGTGGCACGTTAATAATATAACCGACCGACTCTAAGATTAACGAAAACTCAAAAATTGACCTTTAGTCATATTGAGGA